GTGCGTGCGTGCGTGCGTGCGTGCGTGCGTGCGTGCGTGCGTGCGTGCGTGCGTGCGTGCGTGCGTGCGTGCGTGCGTGCGTGCGTGCGTGCGTGTGTTGATGTACGAAGCGCAATTGGCGCGGTGTGAGTGTCACAAGTATTTGGCGTGCGAGTGCGTGAGTCGCTGATAAGAGCGCGAGTGAACGAGTGAAAGCGAGTGAAATGTGTTGCTCGCGGCGATGTTATGACGGGTTACGACAAAAAAAAAGGAGACGGGCTCGCTATGCTCCTTTTTTCTCGCGGTGTCGGCTAGCGCGGCTGATCAGCTGTCGGTTTATCTAATTTTAGAACTGCCGGCGCGGCAGTCTAATTCCCGTAACGCGCGGTTATTCGAGCCTTATCGCGGATCGCGTATTCGTATTGACACGGGCGATGACCAGCGGCCGAGAACGCTCGGCAGAGGTGGAGAACTCTCCACCCCGGGCGAATGCTGGTCAATCGCGGTGCGAATGAAAAATACTGTCGGCGCTGGCCAACGGTCGAGTACACTCGACGGAGGCAGAGTACTCTCTGCCCCGGACGTTGGTCGTTGCGCGCTGCACCGAGACGGCTGCCGAGAACGCTCTGCAGAGACAGAGTACGCTCTGCCCTTCGATTCTTGCCGTTCGGTGCTATGAGGCGCCTTTTCGATGCCTACCGAGAACGCTCGGCGGAGCTGGAGAACTCTCCGGCCCGGTTTTGCAGGTATCGTATTCGGCTCTAGGATGTCGGATTCGTGATTGGGATCTGGTCGGAACAGGAATCACCCGTTTCTTCGTAACGAAGCATTTTTATATAACTGAAAATGCCGCGTTCGTGGGTCTTCGTATTCGCTCGCGTTTTCTCGTTGCCCGGGCTTCGCGACGCGCGGGACTAAGTCCCAGCAGTGGGAGTCCGCGGCGATCGATCTATTCCGATCTCGCTCGGCGGTGCTCGGCGTTATGCGGCCGTTACTGCCGCTTGTACCTGCGAATTATGCTTTTGTTTTATCGGGCGCTATGCGCCCTCATCACTGCATTGCGCAGCAATGCAGCGGCGTTCGGCTGGGTGGTGTGTGCCCGAACGATGGGGGGATGCATCGTTACATTATTCTTGGATCTGGTGACTTGCGATCTTACTAGACGTGACAGGTCTTTAATCAGAGCGAAATGTACAGCGATGTCATCCTCCACGTACAAGAGGTTCACGTGCTTGCTCCTCTTTCGGTTAGCGAATCGTATCGGTACGATCCCATCCTCGATGGCGTAAACGTTGACGGAAATGTCTAAATTTTCAAATTTTTTAATTTGACTCAACGTCATTGGGAACTCAATACCCGTGAAATTTAGGGTGCGTTCCGTTTCTTGCATGAAGCGCATGAGTATTTAGTGCATGGCATGGAGTGCAGGGTACGTTCCGTTTCTCCAATACACTCTATATGGTTTTAGTAACGGAACAGATTCTGCAGTCAATTCATGCATTGAATAAACATGGACGACAATTTAAAATTGCATTCAATAATTACTGTATCTTCTTTTTTATCAAAAAAACATTTATATTTTTCGAGCTGCTCTGATTCAGTTGAAAGTGAATTTTCAAGTGATGAAGAAACCGAAGAAACTGATATTTCAACTTTGTATGCAATTCTTATGATTGGACATGAGGAGTGAATGTTCCTCGTGAAAAATTATCGGATTACGTTGAACGAGTTGTACCAGGATATTCACGACAACAATTCAAGGAACATTTCAGGTAAGTTGTAAACGATATTTAATATTGCGGAATTATTACGTGAGAAATTAACCTCTTTTTCTGGCAGAATGTTTCCTAAGACATATGAAATGATTTTATACATATATGATTGGACCAGCTTTATATCGGATCAATATAATGAGGAGAAAACCGATATATCCAAGAAAACAATTATTAATAACATTATGGTTTTTATTTACTCCAGATTCTTACAGGTATTTGCTTTTTTCTTATAAAATAATATTTTTTGTTATTGCAAAAATATACAGATTATAATTAAAATACCTATAAGAGCCTATAATAGCCATCATAGAATATTGTGCAATTAATTTGTTCATTTAACTACAACAAAAACATACATTCCGATTCACGGTTAGGATCTCTATCAATGTTTACAATTAACGACATAATAAAAAATCTAAAAATTTAAAAACTAAAAAACTAAATAAAAAAATTAAACAAAATTAAAGCAAAAAAACTAAAAACTGAATAATGACATAAAACTTAAATAACTATTAAAACAACAAAAAATAAAAAAATTTAACACAAAAATGGAAACTTTACAAGAAATAGTTTTAAAAAAAAAAACTCCCGACTGCTGCCAAAAGTGAGTTACATTAACAAACTAAAAAACTAAAACTTAACAAACTAATAAAAAGAAAAATTTTAAAATTAACAGAAAATAAAAATAAGAAAATAATAAAAAACGAAAAATTGGAAACTAATAAAAAACTAAAAATTATTTAAAAAGTCTGGTTTAAAAAGTTTAAAATAATTTAAAAAGACACATTTAATTAATAACAATATACATAAGTCGTAGAAATCTTGTTTAAACAGTTTAAAATAAAGGTTGCAACACATAATAAAAAATATACATTAAATAAACCAGCTTAAAATAATAAATAAAGGCATAATTTTTCTAAAAATTCAATAAAAATAAAGGTAAACCTTTACAAAAGGTTATAAGACCACCCTCCGACGATCTTGACCTTGACATATGTTGTCAAGGTTATAACCCTGAGTAACTTCCAACAGGTTTTAGCCGTCGCTCGTCCTTCGTTAAAAAGTTATTAACAATCATAGTTTTAAAATTAAGGTATGATATATAATACATATATGATATTAAGTACTAGTCTACAACTTTCCCTGTTCAGAAATGCTAAACTTTCCACACGAAGTAACTTTCACCCCCCTTCCCCTGCACAGGGGCACACGACTTCTACGATTGTACTGTTGCTATGATAGTACTGTCGGGGCAGACCTCTGTGCGTGCGTGCGTGCGTGCGTGCGTGCGTGCGTGCGTGCGTGCGTGCGTGCGTGCGTGCGTGCGTGCGTGCGTGCGTGCGTGCGTGCGTGCG